TGAGCTCCTGCTGCCTGCCTGGGAAGCATTTGTGTGGCTCCTGGCTCCTGGCTTCAGCCTGGCCCATCACAGGCCAGTGGATGAGAGCATTTCTCTCTCTTTCTCTCTCCCTCTGTTACACACACACCAAAGAGAATCTTCCACCTGCTAGTTTCATTCTTTAAAGCCTGAAACTCCATCTGGGTGTTCCACATGGAGGGCATGGGTCCGATCACTAGGGCCATTTTTTGGCTGTTTTCCCAGGCCCATTATCAGGGAGCTGGATTAGAAGTGGAGAAGCCAGTACCCAAACCAGTGCCCCATAAGGAAAGGATGCTGGCAGTAGCTTAACTCCCTGTGACACAACACCAGTACCTGCCTGTCTGTGTGTATACCTCTCAAAAAATACACAATCACTTTAAGGCACAAATCCACTTCTACATATATTAATACCCAGCAAAATTATCACTAAGTATGCAGGGAAAATAAAGGTATTTTAGGATGGAGACAATTTACTACTCATTGACCCTTATTAAAAAGAAATCTAAAGGATATGCAACAGAAATAAACTGAATCCAGAAGAAAAAAACCTGAAATGTAACAAGCAAAAATGAATAAAGAAAACAAGGAAATATGGGTTTATTTAGACAAGTACTAAATTTGAAAATAAATATAATAACTGCACGATTTATTTGGCAAAATATAATACAAGCAAGATGAAATTAAGTTACTGAATAACATGACTTTACATGTGTTAAGTGCAGATAAGCAGATGTCTTACCCTACTGCTTCTGTAGTGATCATGGCCACCCGAGAAATAATGGATAATTCTGAACTGCATTAAGTCAATACACAGATTTAAAATATCAGGATAAAGCCCACTAATGAGTTGTAGTATTACATTCTTCTAGACCAGCATGGTAAAATGAAATAAAGATATCTTAATTGCTTAAACAAAGCACAGGAGAGAAGTGGAAGCACAGAGGAAGGATGATAGAGAGAGACACCAAGCAAGGTGAGAGAAACAATCAGTAATCATTACACAGACCCAGTGCTGTAGCTACCGTGGCAAAGACAGACTCAAACTAAAGACTGAGCTGTAAGGGTCAACAGACAGCTGAAGCATCTTCATTCACAGCAGGAAAACATCTCACAAATTATTACAATTAAACAGGTAATAACTCATCATCATCATCACCACAGTAATGAGCCTGAATATTCTCAAAGTGAGCCTGAAAATACATCAAAACAAATGCAGAGATAGCATTAAGGAGAAATGGACAAATGCACACTCACAACGGGTACTTCAGTGTTATCACTCTTGTAACTGACAGACCCATTAGGAACAACACTAGTGAAGATGTGCAAGACAGAGACTGCTACCCAAGAATGTATACAAACCCGGGGCCAACAGGGATTACTGTCTTTTCAGGTATATGTGGCATGTTTCTAGAAATTTGTCATGCATGAGGTCATAAAGCAAATCTCAAATTCTACAAAAATTAAATGGTATATATTTTGTTTTCTAATCATAAAACATAAAATTGGGATTCACTGATAAAAAGATAATCCCAAATCCTATGATTCTGAAAGTCTATTAAAAAATCTGCTTCTAAATAATTCATGGCCAAAGGAAAGGATGAGATTTAATATCTGAGTAACAATAAAAATGCTACAGATTTTGTTCCTAGAAATTCATGGCTTTATTAAACAATAAAGAATAAATGTGAGCTAGATGTTTAAAGTTTAGAAAAATATGAAAAAAAAAAGCTCATAGAAAATAAAAGGAACCAAGTAATGGAGGAACATCATTTGAGAAATGGAAAACAAATTGAGAGGTTCAATAAAAACTATTCCTTATGAAAGACTAGAAAAGGCCCGAATCACTGGCCAACTGATCGAGAAAAGCTGCTAATCACAAATAATATTGGTAACTTAAGAGGAAACACTATTGTCATAATAGAGGTTTATAAAAATAAACAAATTCTATGGATATTAAAGACTTTAAAGACAAAATATAACATTCTTGTGAACAGCACAGTAATATCCAAAGAGACTGAAAAATAAATTTTAGTCTTTTAGGATCAAATATCTAGTATCTAGCAGATTGTCTGAGTCACAGCAAGAACTCAACACATGTTTGTAAAACTGTATGATCAAAAACCTCCTGGAAGACATACACTACAGATATTTAGAAATTTCTCTTATTCTCGGAATCTCAAGGATTTAGCAAATCTTGCAGTTGAGAAAAGGATGTACCAGCAAAGCATTAAATTTTATATAGCACTCATTATAAGGGGAAACATTATAAAATTTCCCAACATAGGGTCTGGTGCCGTGGCCTAGTGACCGAAGTCCTTGCCTTTGTGTGTCAGGATCCCATATGGGTGCTGGTTTGTATCCCAGCTGCTCTACTTCCCTTCCAGCTCCATTTGTGGTCTGGGAAAGTAGTAGAGGATGGCTCGAAGCCTTGAGACCCAGCACCTGCATGGAGACCCAGAATGAGGCTCCTGGGTCCTGGTTTCAGATCGGCTCAGCTCTGGCCATTGCACCTATTTGGAGAGTGAACAAGCAGATAGATCTTTCTCTGTCTCCTTCTTTCTGTAAATCTGCCTTCGCAATAAAAATAAAAGGCATTGTAAGTTTCTGTTTTTCTTCCTGCTGTTGGTTTTGTTTCGTAGCTTTTCACTTGGGGGGATTTATAGTGACTGTAGTGGAGAATGACATGTCCAGACGTAAGGATATGGTGCAATGTGCATTTTTACTTCTGGATCTAGGATGAACGCACAGTGAAACTGTTGGATGTGTCTTGATAATGGGATGCTGGACTCTCTGCCATTGTCCATAATGGACTTATGACTGTCTATGAGGAACTACGCTGTTGTAATAATATGGGAAAACTCAGCTAGGGGATTAATGGAGAGGTAGGGAAAATTCCAGGGTCTATGGAACTGTATCATAAAATGATAATAATGTGATAATTGTAATAATAAAGCTAAAAATTCCCAATATAAATCAATTTATAATCTAGTCAATGAATGATTCCCTACCCACAGTTAATATCTGACAAGCATTATTGGCTATGTTCACTACCATATTTCTAGGATCTATAATACCTGATGCATAATGGGTACTCAATCAATATCTTCTAAATTATTATCCAGTAGTAAATCATGAGCAGAAATATCACAAACAGGGTGGGCTTTTTAAGCTGCAGGCTTCCTTACAGAGATAGGATTGGGCTTGATCACTGTGGAGACCCTTACAAACATCCCCTGTGGACTTTGGTGCTCCTGGGTCTTCACAGAGAAGCCTTCCACACTCCTGTCCCAGTAACCATGCTTAGTGCAGTGGAAACAGGCCTAGGGTGCAGGCCAGTACTGCAGGCCACTTTCCACTTCCACACTAGCTTTCCTGCAGTACTGCCCTCAGCTGTGCCCTCTGAACTGCCCCCCAGTGTGGCAAAGGGACCTTCTTAATCTTCTCTGAAGATCAGAGTAGTTGTTGCTTGTGTGAATGGGGGCAGAGAGGGGAGCTGGGGCTTGCCATTTAGACACACCTCCAGCCCAGCCTCCCATGTCCGAAGCACACCTGCCTTTGCTCTGAGGGACACCCAGCACCCCGAGTCCCTGAATGTCCCTGGGGGTCACAAGTGCAAATGAACCTGCCTTGAGATTCCATATCACCAGCACAGGATTCAGCAATTTCTGGGGGACCCAACAGTCCCACCAGCCTCTCTGTGGTCTGTCTTCCAACCTGCAGCTGCCACCCTCTCCCCTCCTTTCTGTGTGCTGGTCTATTCAGTCCCTTGGTTTTTATTTTAGTGTGGTTTAACCAGGAAGCTACAACAAGCATGATTAGCCATTCATATTTTCACAAAGGAGTAAAACATTATAAAAATCAATTGTTTAAACTGCTTAAAAAGAATTCCAGTAAGTTCCTTAAATTCATCATTGTTTAACCACGATTTTGAAATCAAAGACAATCCATTCACCGTTACAGCTAGTTTCACGAAGACATTTACCATTTGTGTCTTCTTCATCATTGTAGTGCCCAGTACTGAGCACAGTAGCAATGGTCAGTAAGTATTTATTACATAAGTCAATTCAATGAATATAGTTATAATAAAAAAAAATAAGACTTTCAGGTTTTTTTTAAACTTCAGCACTTACCTTACTCATCTAAGATTGCTTAGGCAGCAGTCCAAAAAGCAACCTTAAATAAACAGCCCTAATTTGAAAGCCAACAGTGAAGTATGTTACAGTGACAAAGTTCTTCACTACACAAAGTTTACTACAGTCCTGCATTCTATTCTAACAAATCCCTGCATTCAAATCTACTTATGTAAACTGGGTAACTGATATGCTAGTGATATAATTTTATTATAACTGCTACACAAATAGCATTTATTACAGATGGATGTATAATTTTACATATCACTAGATACATTTATAATACAAAAGTTATAATTAACAGTGAATATATAAGGCTTTTCACATTTAAAATCTATACATTAGCTACTACTTCTTAGATTCATTTTGAACAAAAGACACAAGATCATCAAAGAATTACTACTACTGTACTCTTTCAAGTAAATCGAAAAGGCTATTACAACTCACCCTGGTTGTAATTACAATGTCAACTCTGTCTGCTTGGTTTTGTGATTCTTTATTGCCTGCCATCTAAGCCACAATACTCCTAGAAGTACTGGAAGGTTATTTGATTGTTTAAATTATACTTTACATATTTTATAGGGAAAGGTAAATGCGCACTTTTTATTAAAAACTGGTAAATTCTGATACAGCCACAAAAGGCTTAATTTTATTCTAACAGGCTATTCCATGGTCATTTTCAATAGAAAATATTTAGTCTTTCATGCCAAAAATGTTTCCCTAGACAAATCTGCACACACATCCATAATTCTCATCACCATGCCCTGTGAGATGTCTGCTCTGTGGCTACTTTTTTATTCTTATTTACATCCTGTTAGTACTAACTTCAAATTGAAACATGATACTCACTTCATCAGCCACAAACTCCTTACTCAGACCAAAATCTGTCAGCACCACATGGCCATTAGAATCAAGTAGAATATTCTCAAGCTTAATGTCACGGTATATAATCCCCAACTGTAAAAACAAACACATATGTATTTAAAAATTATTTCCAAAAATTAATTAGGACAGTGTTGAATCTATCCTAACATAAAAAGGCACTGCTCTCTTTAGGATCCTTAGCGGGGGGGCGGTTGGAGTGGGGGTGGTGGTCCTCGTGCTGTTAGGGCAGTGCGGCACTCTGAGTTCAGGGCCAAGTTGCCTGCACCTGCCCAAACATGTCTTCCCTCTGCACGTCCAGATGCTGCCCCCTGCTGGAGTGGTACTGCGCGGGCTATCTGATGACGGAGTGGCACTGTGTGGGCTATCTGATGATGACTCACTCTAGATGACCTTCTGGTGTCTACGTCACCAAGAAATGTCCCTCACCTCCCAATGTCATTGCCTCAGATGTCCTACAGCTCCTAGGTTGGCATGGTACTTACCAACGGACGACTGATGTTCTCTGAGTGCTTCCTGTTTGCCTGGGTGTTCTCCTACTCCAACTGTTTTTCATTTCTTACATATTCATCCAATATCTAGCACAGTGTCATGTGTCAAATGGGGGTTTAACAAAGGCTTGTTGAATAACAAAAGGCTTTTAAACAGCTAGGCTGAAGAGCACTGGCTAATTGTAGTTGCTCTTTAGTTCTAAATAAGCAAAGTAAACCAATCAATACATATCTATATATTCTGCTTAAGTTTGACAAAACACATCCGCTAATACTTCAGCCATGCAACACAAATAAGTTCACCCAAGTTATGTAAGAAGTTATTCACCTGCATAAATTTGGTTTCATGCTTTTAAATATGCTGGACTGAATGAAGCATTATTAAAATTTACAAATGTGCTCTTCTCAACACCAAATACTACACGAAAAAGCAGGATATTAATAGCTTCTTAAAATCGAAATAAAACCACATGAAGAAAAGTGCTTGTCAACTTTCCTCCAAGAATTTTACTGTTCTACATGGAAAATAGGAGGCAAACATATAGATTTTGTATTGAACAGATATTTGGCTTGAAACATTACATGCACCCAACAACCAATATTAAAGAAAACTTACTAGGAAAAGATTATAGGTACAAATAATTTCCTCTATTTTAATCCATAATTTTCTAATAAATCACAATTTTTAACTCTTTTTATGAAATCTGGTATAAGTACAATTATATCAAGACTAATGTTTCTGGCTTTGTGGTATTCTAATGTGAATAAAAATGTAGCTGAGACTTTGGCATTAGTTTTATTACATATCAATTATATCTCTAAGCAGTATTCATTATGCTATTTATTTCTGTGTTTTGATCACCAGTTAAATATTAATGAATAGTCATGAATATTCCTTTAATAAATAGAATTAAAGTTTCACACAAATAAAATCTCAATTTTCTGGTTTACGCAATCAGGTAAATGTCTTTACTGTTTTCTCCCCAGTACTTTTGATTATTTATATCATCATTTTATACTATAAAAAGATACATCTGGTGCAGGCATTGGGCCTAGTGGTGTGCATGTCCCCATGCTGAAGTCTATAGCTCCTGCAGCTTCTTGCTAACACAGACCCTGGAAGCAGGACTGGAGCTCTTGCCTTCCATGTGGAAAATCTGGATTGAATTCTCAGCTCCTGGCTTCAGCCCTTTCGGCCTTTGTCACTATTTGGGAAGTGAACTGGCAAATGGGAGCTCTCTTTCTCATATATAATAACAATTACGTTTTGAAGTTAATCCAAATCACACAATTCAAAGGTCTTTGTAGACCATTCCTGGTCCAATCCATTTCTTGAATAAAGATGTAACTATACCCCATAAAAATAATCACAAGTCTAAATGCTGTTACTACGTGGGAATTCCTATCAGAAGGACAGCAATCTGTTGCCAGGACTTTGGTGCAAAGCCCTGTCGGGCTGTTCTTCCTCTGCCCCTCTGCCCCACTGCCCTATCTCCCTGCCGGCCCCACCCCTTCCTTGTTCTCCTGCCCATTCACCCATTCCTCCCTGTTTGTAGTCTGGTTTCTACTTGGGGCCAGAAGAACCCTTTTCTTGATTTTAACTTCTTTTTTATATTTATTTTTTCATTTCTTTTTAAAATTTTATTTATTTTCATTATTTTTGCTTTAAGGCAGAGCACTTCAGAGATATCCAGAGAAAGCTGCACCATCTGTTGGTTTCACTGCCCCAGTGCCCATAACAGACAGGGATGGACCAGGCTAAGGCCAGGAATTTGGAACTCAGTCCAGGTATCTCATGTGGGTTACAGGGACCCAAGTACTTGAGACAGTACCTGCTGCCTCCCAGGGTGAGCATGAACAGGACGCTGGATCAGAAGCACAGGGGCGAGAACTCTTCTGATGTGGGATGTATGTATCTCAAAGGGCAGCATCCTAACTGCTGTGTCAAATGTCCTCTGCCCCTAAACCCTGATTTCTTTTCTGGTATCTTCCAATCCTCTTTTCCCAGGCTCTAACAATACTGCCTCTATCTGTTAATCCAAACTCCCTGCTCCTTTAAAAATTCCATCCCCCTTGCTCTATTATCAGCACTGTAGACTGCATATATAAAGCAGAATCGTGGCTTTTTGATGCCCCTATATTGCCTAATTTAGTGACCCAAGTCCAATACCTAATTTTATCTCACAGGGGAAACCCACAGGCCAGTCCACATAATGGTTACTTGTCTCTACAATAACACTTCCTCATTAAGGAAAAAACGGTCAAAATTTTGTGACTCAAGATTAATGGTAATCCTGAATGACATGCCTAAATTGACTTTCATGGAGTGTCAAGGACACAGATTTCATTCAAAGGCTTTCACAGTTCAATTCATGCTAAATGGAGGAGGCAGGTGGGGCTTTGGGCTAGACAGGGCACCAGGGACAAAATAAATGCAAGGTGGTGTATCAGGCTAAGCTTTTGCCTGCAGTGCTGGCATCCTATTTGAGCTCTGGATACTCAACTTCCACTCCAGATCCTTACTTACAGCCTGGAAAACAGCAGATGTCTCAAGTCCTTGGGCTCCTGCACCCATGTAAGAGACCTGGAAGAAGCTCCTGGTTCTTGGCTTCAGAGCAGCTCTGCTCTGGCCATTGCAGCAATTTGGGGAGTAAACCAGCAGTCAGAGGGGCAATCTCTATTTTCTGTCTCTGTAACTCTGCCTTTTCCAAAAAATAAATAATAATAATAATAAAGAACAATAGAAGAGAAAGGGAGGGGGAGGGATGAGAAACAATTTTCACTCCCAACCTAATCAGAAGACACCCCAAGACGGATGGGCAGAGTCTAAAATAGAGTACATATACCTTGTGGCTTCATTTGCTAAGTTATTTTAATAATTAAAATAATGTATTCTGTTGATATTTCATAATACCTACACTTAAAAAATTTCCATGAAGAAAGCCAACAAACTGCTCAGATTTAATCTGCAACAGGCACAACAACAAAGCACTTTGAAATTCAACTTTTCAAGAGGACACTATGAGAGTGAGACACCAGGGAACGTTCTGGAAATGTGCACTCACAACTACCACCACGACAAGGACACAGGAACACACGGGCTCTTCCGGCAGCAGCATTACCTCTCTCAGACGTGGGGAGGGTACAGTGTCTTACCTTGTGGAGGTGCTCGAGGGCAAGCACAATCTCTCCCACACAGATCTGTACCTCGTGCTCTGTGAAACGCTCTCTTTGAGAAAGATGAGTAAAAAGTTCTCCACCATTTATATAATCTAAAAACGAAATATAGTTTTCTTTCTTTGACTTGCATTCATACACGAAAGGAGGTATTTGCTTGTTTATCGCTTTGGATTAACTATGAGGCACTGACTTGAAAAAATATTATTTGTTGTACAATTCTTAGCATACAGTTTCACATAGAATATACTAGATACAAACAATAATAATTTCACAATCATAAGCTAATGATTTGCAGAGTACTGCCATTAAAACATTACATAAAACTCATATGTACTTAAATATGTGTCCCCATTCACAGCCTATCAGGAACTTCATACAACAGATCCTTTGCTTTCTATACAACACCAACTTATCAGCTACTACAATAACTAAAAACTCCCAGCTTTGCCTCAGTGGTTACTGACAGTCACTCTTTTTATGTCAGACGGGCAGATGGGCTGTCCTCCAGGACTGCCATGTGCCCTTCTACAAACACCTAGCAGGGGCCCAGAGGATAAAAACAGTCAATGGTGGCTGAACCAAAGCACTTGTAACTAGAAGGTTCCCATTTTCCTGCAATTTGTCCTGTTTATCCTAAGGATGTTGAAGAATGAAACAGGAGACCTAAGGGGCTACATGAAGAAAGAAACCAAGAGGATTGGCTAATTAAAATTTATATAGATAACTGGCATATAATATTTATTGATAAAGTGATGATTGAATGTTCCCCTTTTAGAGAACAATACAGGTTGATATTAACAATTTGCTTAATTTTACTCATGTTAATAATTTTTTTTGCTAAATACATGCTACAACATTTTTATTATAGTTTCATTAGAAATTAAATGTTACTACATTAAAACACCATTTGTATAAAAACATTTCCATCTATAAGACACAAATAGAATTTAAAGCTTTTTTTTAAAAGGTGTATCTTAAAAATTATATTCACTTATGAATTTTACCACCATTTGATTAAAGAACAAGGCAAATCCTTCATGAACTTATAATTTTTTCCCTTTATCTTGTCCATTTAAGCATTAAATTTCAAAAAAAGCAGATGCAACAGAATTTAAAGAACTCTAATAGCTGGCTGTTCTGCAATGTAGTTTTCAAAGCACATGTCAGCAAAAAGCATCCCCTCCTAAGGCTGCTGTATTTTGCTAAGAGGTTTTAATTATATCTGAACACAAAGCTAATTATTAAAAAGGTGTAAAGGAACACAGCATTCCTGTAAAGTAACAATGATTTAAAAAAAAAACTTTTAAGTGGTTATTTACTTAACCCCAGCACTAAAATATTAAAGTATAAAATATGCATAAATGGTTCCCACAGTCAGGCATAGCACAGAAAAACAGGCATCCGTATACCCAGTGACAAACTCCTACACAGCCTTGAGTGTCCAATTCAATCATTTCACCTTCTATGGGCATCCAGCAGAGTTGATCACTTCCTCATGTGTTACCATCCTACTTATTAAGGACGCCCACCATTGCAATTATCTTGCCACACTGCAAATGTTTATTTGCAGACTTGCTTTCTTTGCTAAAAAAATCAGGATCAATGTATTCTCTGCTATATATCCAACCTAGTGCCTGCCTGTGGAAGCACTCATTAGATGCTTATTTCATTAATCATTTAACACAGATTATTAATACTGGAATATATATTAAGTACGTTTCTGAAAAAAGATTGCTCTGGAACTCAAAAGGCCAGTGCATTAAAAAAAAAAAAAAACCCAACGTATTCTTGTCTCTAGAGGACAGTCCGAGTTCTGTGACCCAACTAGCCAGTGGCTCCACTGCGGTCCTACTTTGAGTGATTTACCAACAGGGCAGGAAAAGTAACTGCTTAGATTATTGTTACTTTTGCATGTGAACAGAGTCCTGCTTTATTTGGGGGATTGGAAGAAAAAAAACTACAAATCTAAGGAGGTAAACCTAAGATAACATCAGGGAAACTACTTCCTACTCTTGTAACAGACTGTCCTGACAACCCAGCATGAAGGCTCGACGTCATAGAGTGAGCATGTACTTGTTCTGTAGGTATGTGCTGTATACTTTACAAGGTGAACAGCGAACTCTATCTGGTGGTATAGGCTATTACAGAGGCAAAGGAGAGATAAAGCAGAAGTGATGGTGCCTGGAGTGTGCAATAATTATGAGCTGCAATGGTCAATGGCACAGAGGGTAGGCTCGCAGGATTCCCTAGAGGGAAGCACTTGGTACATCATTATGCTGTTCTATGTGTTATGTAGTGGCATCTCATTATAGCTTTAATCAGCAATTTTCCTGAGTAACCATGATACTTTGCATCTTTCTATGTTTCATTGGGCATTTCTGTATCTCTTGTTGTTAAGTATTTATTAAAGGTGCACATGCGTGTGTGTATGTGTGTGTGTATGCATGTCCCATTTTGGTTTTCTTTCTTACATTCATATTACTATGAAATTTACCCATGTTTAGTGTAAACTTTACTGTTTTTTTTTCTTTTTAAGTATATCCAGAGTTGTGCAACATTCATCTCTATAATCAATTATAGAACATCTAGCTGCTTATACTTTTGGAGTCATATCTAAGAAACTTGCCAAGATCAACATCACAAAATTTTTCCTGAGACTGGGTTCTTACTGTGTCTAATCCACTTTAACTTTTGTGTATACTGTGAAGGAAACGGGTTAATTTCACAACTTATTTTTTGCATGGAGCTTGGTATCTTCCAGTTTCAACAGTTAAAAATATTCTTTTCATACTGCCAACCCTGCTGGAAAAAAAAATCTATTGACTTTAAATGTGCATACTTCTAGAAAGCTAATACTATTCTTCTGACACAAGTTTATTCTCCCAATTACTGTGAGTCTGTAGGACACTTTGAAATTAGGAAGTACAATTCTATCAACTTTATTGTTCCCTTTCAAAATAGTTGCAGCTATTCTGGGCCCCTTGATTTTCCATATGCATGTTTGGATTATGCTACCAGCTTCTATGAAGACATAGCTGATGTTTTTGCAAGACTGAGTAAATCTGTAAATTAATCTGGAAGATACTGTCACTTCAATAATACATAGTCTCTCAATTCAAGAATATGCATGTCTTTCACTTTTTAAAATATTTATTTATTTGAAAGAGTTATATACAGAGAGATGAAAGAGGGAGGGAGGAAGAGAAATCCATCCATCTGTTGGGATATTCCACACATGGCTGCAATGGCCAGGGAGGGCCAGGTGGAACCAGGAGCTTCATCCAAGTTTCCCACATGGGTGGCAAAGGCTTAAGAACATGGGCCATCTCCCACCTCTTTTCCTAGGCCACTGGCAGGGAGCTGGATACAAGTGGAGCAGCCAGGACATGAACTGGTGCCTACATGGGATGCTGGCATCACAGGTGGAGGTTTTACCCCGACTACCACAATGCCAGACTCTGACATGAATGTCTATTTAAGTCTTGTTTCATACCTCCCCCTAAAGTTTTGTAGTTTTGAGTGTCTGTTTTACACTTTTGTTATTATACTGATTCTAGAGTAAGCAGTCAATTTCAGGCTGTTCATCACCACATATACAGGAACTCAATTTTTCTTGGTATGTTGATCTTGTATCTTGCATCTTTACCAAATTGTGTTTCCAGTTTTAGCTGTTCATTTGTGGATTCGTTAAGATTCTGTGTTTACAAGATCATGGCAATTTTAAACAGTCTGTCTTCGTCCTTCCCCACTTGAAGGCGTGTTGCGAGCTTTACTTGCCAACACTGCTGAATCCAGCGGTGAACATGGACTACCCTTTCCTGGCCTTGGTGAGGGAGCCTCCGTGCAGGCTGCAGCAGTGTGAGCTTGGGGTTTGCCCAGAAGCCTGTTTCAGTTTGAGCAAGTTCTCTTCTATCCCCTTTGTTCGGTGTTTGCTTAAACATGAAGGAATTTGAGATTTTATTCTTTATTCTATGTAATCTGATAGCAGAGGTTTATCTGGCATAACAAATATTTTTGTTCTTTATTCAATAAACCTGGTTTAGTAAACTGATTGGCTTTTTGTTGCTAAACTAAGCTTGCACAGCAATGAAAAATCCAACTGGGTCATGCTATATGATTCTTTTTGTGTGTTCCTAGATTTAGTTTCAGAGAATTTTGTTGAGGATTTTGGCATTTCTATTCAAAACAAGTATTGGTCTGTGGTTTTCTTTTCTTGTGATCTTTTTGTTTAGCTTAATACTGGTGTAATACTTCCCTCAAAGAATAAGCTGGGAAATATTTCTCCTTCTAAAAGAGTTTGTGAAGAATCAGTGCTAATATTTTAGAATGCTTAGTAACACTGACCACTTGCGCCTCAGCACTTCTTTGCCTGTAGCTTTTATCAGTAATATTAGTAGCAATAATCATTTATTATTAGGTTCCTTTTTCCTTATTTTTAAGGACTTATCTATTTTTATTGGAAAGACAGATATATAGAGGGGAGAAGAGACAGAGAGGATGATCTTCCGTCTGATGATTCACTCCCCAAGCAGCCGCAACAGCCAGAGCTGTGCCAATCTGAAGCCAGGAACCAGTAACTTCCTCTAGGTCCCACACAGGTGCAGGGTCCCAAGGCTTTGGGCCATCCTTGACTGTTTTCCCAGGCCACAGGCAAGGAGCTGGATGGGAAGCGGGGCAATGGGACATGAACTGGCCCATGTACAATGCTGGCCATTTGGAGGTGTAAGGATTAGCCAGTAGCATCATCTCAGTGGTGTCAACAATCATTTTTTAAATTATAGGTCCCTTCAGAAGTGGTATTTCTTCTTGAATCAGTTTCAGCAGCTTGTATCTTTAAGGATTTTTTAAATTTCATGTAAATAACCTAACATGAAAATACACAAATAACATTACTGTATAATGGCACACAGTTGTTAATGGTATTTCTCTCGTGGTTCTCTCAATTCTTTAATCATGTTCCTTCTTTCTTTCTTTCCCAATCCTACCAATTTGGATCTCTTTTTCTGCTCAGTCTAGTTAAATGTTTGTCAATTTATTGATTTTCTCAAAGAAACATCTTTTGGTTTCATTGATTTTTCTATTGGTTGCACAA